AGTAACAGATTTTACTTTCTTGGGCTCCATGATCATTGCAAATGGTGACAGCAGCCATGAAGTTCAAATACCCCTGCTTCTTGGGAGGAAAGCGATGACAAACCTAGACAGCATCTTAAAAAGTAGAGACATCACCTTGCCGACAAATGTCAGCATAGTCAAAGCTATGGTTTTTCCAGAAACAATGTATGGAAGTGGGAGCTGGACCATAAAGAAGGCTGACCGCCGAAGAATTGATGCTTTTGAATTGTGGTGCTGGAGGAGACTCTTGAGAGTCCTCTGGACTGCAAGGAGATCAAAACTATCAGTTCTGAAGGAGATCAACCCGAGTGTTCACTGGAAGGACAGATCCTTCAATACTTTGATAATCTCTTGCGAAGAGAAATCTCTCTGGAAAAGACCCTAATGTTGGGAAAGAGTGAAGGCTTTTATTCTATTATAATTGTATACATGTTCCTGTTAGCCGCTCAGAGTGGTATAGATTTACCAGATGAGCGGGATATAAATCAAATAAATAAATAAATAAATAAATGAAGGCAAGAGGAGAAGGGAACAACAGAGGACGAGATGGTTGGACAATGTCACCAAAGCTACCAACATGAATTTGACCAAACTCCAGGAGGCAGTGGAAGACAGGAGGGCCTGGCGTGCATGGGTCATGGGGTCATGAGAGTAAGACAGGACTTGAGGACTAAATAACAAATCCGCATAATAAAGCTAATCTTTATTAGCTTGAATCAAAACATCATTATAAAGGATTAAACTTATTTCAAAGAGAAGACAAATAGGCTAAGGCACTAGCATCTCTTCCACTACTTTTAAAGAATACCCTAGTTCAGCATTCTTCAACCTAATGCCTTGCAGGCTGGGAAAGAATTCATTGGAGACTTCTCAATTCTACCCCAATAAACCAGGTAGTGGCTCATCCCTCAGAACTGCAGAGGGTGGCTGGGGGTTCTGACAGGAACTGGAGTTCAAAATAACCTGGAGGCATAAAGATTTCCACTTCTTCTCTAGTTGCATGTTCAATTCCCAATCAAGCCTAGCTACAGTAGCTCACAACAGATTATTTCCATACTGTAGAGGTCATAGCTTAGTGGGAAGGGAACTCAAGCAAAAGATTCTTGAGTTCAGGTTCTAGCATTGCCAGTTAGGACCAAGAAAAATTCACTTAAAACTGTTAGATAAGGTTGAAATCAGTACAGCAATAAATTGCCTTACTCATACATGTCTCCTTCCTTTGCACCTTAAGTTGCACCCAAGTTACCTTGAAACAAAAACTCCCCAGTTTTAAGGCCAAGAAAAATCCCCATTAGTGACTTCATGTTTGCACAACTATAACTTCCACAGAACGGTGTGACTTACGTCTGAGTAAACATGCAAAAATCATTGTCCATTTTTCCTCCCCCGCATTGCTTTAAAATATTACAAGGCGTGTTTCTTTCTCCGAAATAAACAATAACAGTGCTGAGCAAGGCCAAGCGTTCATTCGGAGCAGGAACTAAACTTTACACCATCAAAGCCACGGCCTAGGTAGAAGAAAAGCCCCCTCCCTCCCTCCCTCCGTGGCATCCTTAGCCTCGGCCCCTGAGAGCAGAACTCCGGAGTGAAGAATCAGACACAAGATCTTGGGAGAGAAAGTGAGAAAAAAAAAACCCATCAAAGGGCAGGGGGAAAGAAACTTTAATCCCACAAAAAACTCCCA